AAGGAGCCCAAGTTCTTGAAGAATGGTGATGCTGGATTTGTTAAGATGATTCCCACAAAGCCGATGGTGGTGGAGACCTTCTCTGAGTACCCCCCACTTGGTCGTTTTGCCGTGAGGGACATGCGTCAGACTGTTGCTGTCGGAGTCATCAAGGCCGTGGACAAGAAGGACGCATCTGGTGCTAAGGTCACCAAGTCTGCTGCCAAGAAGGGAGCTAAGTGAAATATGCTGGTTTTATTGTCAGTTAGGTTATTAGAGACTTGTTACTCTTTATGTTGTTTTCGGTTTTTGTTTTGCCGTTTGTGCAATGTATTCAGTTCTTGTGCCGGTTTACTATATACTCTAGTGTTGTTGAGTGGTCGGATGCAAACCTGGGTACTTGACAGGCGGTGGTGACGGTACTGGTTTTGGTTGATGTCTGTGTTTTGTTTTTTTATAGTTTGAGTTGAGAAACTGTTTTGTGTCGTGAAGAACAAATTTTCAATTCTATTTGAGTTTATGGTATTATAGGTTCTTAATCAACGATTTATGGTCTTTTTTTCTTTGCTAGTTATGTCTTCATTTCCTGGTTATCTTATCGTTTTGGTTTTTGGGTGACGTTCCAATATCTTCCCTAGCTATTATGTTGCTAATATCTTGTAATTTTGCTCTGTTTTATCGTGTCATTGCCAGATATATTTTGGTATTTCATTAAGTTTGGAGGAACATCTTCTCTAGCTATTTCGTGTTAATGCATCCAAATATGCAATGTAGTGAATGGACTAGATGGCATTAAAGTTTAACCTTATTGTGAATTATGATTATTTGATGGTTCTCTGAGCCTAATTTCCATGTTTGTTTTCCCCGCTCCGTTTCAACGATGTTTCTATAAATAGGATGATTTTTATAACTGAGCTATTCCGCTGCATGATTGGTGGTATGGTTTCATCATTTTCTAATTCCTCGTTTTTTCTGTCGGCTGCTAAAAATATGCTTGTGGGAAACGAGGTTAACGAGGACCGTAAGTCACACAACTCACAAATACCGAAGCGAAATAAATTCATGCACTTTTCCGCTTTTCTTCTTATTAGATGATTGATGAAGTGCGAGATCATATCAGCGCCTCGAGAGGCACAACAAGGTGGGAAACTGGGCTTCGGTCAGTGCAAGGCCCGTTGGAGGTGGGTGAATATGAGCCTGCACGGCGATCTCGAGGTGAACTCGGCTTCAGTCAGAGCAAGGAGGCCCGTTGGAACAGCCTTAATCGCCTTGCATTGAGAATATCTCTCCGTACATAGGTACGGTGATATTTCCAGTATAAATCTATAAAGGCAGTTGGAATGATGTTCGAGCGGGCCTTGCACCGATTGAAGCCGATCTCTTTCGATGTTCCATTTAAACGCATGATATTCATATTTTTGAGGTGGGAATTCATCAATGTCAGACTGAGGATAGAAGTATAGAACTGAATACATGCAGAAATTATCATGATCTTTAATTATATCTCCTTACTTGTGTGCTTTATTGGGGAGATATTCTTAATGCAAGGAACGGGTGTTGCAGACTGTATCCGGTTAGTAAAAAATGTTCTCTAGCGAGGGGAGACCAATGAGCAGCACCTCTCGGAAAACATTGGAGCACGGAGTCGAGTGTCTGCTTGCTGAGCAAATGAACCTTATATTGGGATACTATAACTTGGCTTAGAATATGATTAATCATCATGCTGTTGGAACTAAGCAAAGACTTCGGATATTCGTGTGGTCAACTGGCTTGTGTTCACAAGGACTTGTAATTTAACGAGCACCCAACTTGCTCTTTCTTGGGCCACCAAAGCTTGAGATGGTGGATTTTAATTAGCCAAAACATAAGAAAAGAGTTTTTTAGCAAAATAATGGCACATGTTATCCGTAAGACAACCCAATTCAAATTCTGAGTTTTGGTGGTCAACTATGGCATCATTCATGTGGCACTCAAGCCACTGCCAATGCAAACCATGAAACCAAGGGAGATCGGCTTCGGTCGGTGCAATGCCCGTTCGAACATTGTTCAAATAGCCTTTACAGCCTTGCATACTTTATTTCATGGGGAGACATTCCCTGCAAGGCTATGATGGTTGTGGGGAGACATTCCCTGCAAGGCTATGATGGTTGTTTGAACGGGCTTTGCACTGATTGAATCCCATTTCAAACCAGGGGGTTCTGTTCTCGGTTCAGGCATGAACATGCCTTTGCATGTGTTCAAATGATCTTCGGAATCAAGATCACGGCTTGTTTACCCAAAATAAACAAGTAAAAATAAAAAATAAAATCCAGATCTTGGCGGATGAAGAAGACTGCTGACTCAATTTACATGTCATTCTCTCAGTCTTTACGCTTTCCCTTGCTTGAACTTGTAAGCACACACATCCCGCGGCTACAAGACTGAACGATTGACGCATATTTGCATCAACAATAGAACGATACAAAAGGGAATCCATTTATGCCCATGATGAGCAGCATATCATACTCGGAATATCGTTGTTGTGCTTTAGCAACCACAAATTCCGTAGGCTCCAAGTTACAATTATCAGTCCTATGAACTCGTACCCCTTTAGGCTCACTTTGGGATGAGTGCAAATACAAATTTGTAGAGCGCATATACAAGGTTTTGCATTGTACATATTTGTAGTAGCACTCTACCCAAACTGAGCCTTAATTTATTCAGTTACAGAGTCAAGCCAATCAATCCTAGACTCCTAGTTCACGGTATCAAAACTCAAAAAAATCTTGGTCACAATTTCTTATACATAGGAGTTAGATAAATGATAAATCTAACCTGAAGCACCAAGAAGAAAAAAAAAACTTTACCTCTTCAATACGAGTGAATTGTGCATCTCTACATAAATTGACTCTTAACCTAGTATTGCAAAATCCAGCTCATTAAATAAAATGAAATCACATGTAAAAACATACATTCAAGTCATGTAGCCTTACGGAAGAAGCCCATCTCTGTCCTCAGTAATCTGCTATAGTACCAATGACATGGTGACTGAATCGACCATGATCTTTTTTTCTAGTTCCTGTCTTTTGGCTTCAAACTCATGATGACTTCATTGTCAAATGATTTTCATCCAAACAGGAAAAACTAGCTTCATTCTGTCAGAAACTCCTAAAACTTCCTGGAGCAAATGCATGTAAAAAATCCCCATTAACAATGAAAGTTCGTGGTTCAATATGAACAAATTTTGCATGTTAACCATAACAAAAGCAATTATTTGCTAGGAAAAAATAAAAAAAAAAAGTTGCCACGAGTTTCATAAGCTGGTTACCTAAGTTACCATCTAGGGTTACAAACCAACAGAGAAGAATTCATAAAGCAATGGTAATGGATTAACCTGCCAGTCATCATAATTCTCCATCCTTGTCAAGTTGTGCTTTGGATGCTGCTTTCTCTGCTTCGTTCAAAGCAAATGCTTTGAGTGATTCAATGTCTCTTGGGCCTGAATACACGTGAAGTGATAAAGAAAGTAAAGATCATGCCAGATCCACTATTTCACAAAAGTCCAATTTATTACACTATGCTCAAAGTACCCATATTGGCAATGATAATGTTTAGGTACAATCTGGAATTAAATTCAAATATACTGTTTCTGGTGCGAAAGGTCTAAGAACATGAGTATGGAGCTTCCCTATATAAATCCACCTATTTATGCCACTGGACCTTGTTGCCAACCCAGACTGTCCAGACAGGGAACCTAGATAGGCCACATGTTCAATCTGACAGTCCAAATCAGCTACATGCCCAACCTTCTAATGGATGGTCTTGGGTCGATAGTAATGTATTCATTTAAAACAGAAATACTGCCAATGTAGACAGCAGAGGCAGCACAAAAGCTTTACCCTACTAATATAGACCATTACAAACAGTGGCGGAGTTGGGAAGTTTCTTTTGGGTGCCAAGTTATATAACTTTTGTTTGGCTTATGGTAACGAAAAAGTCATAATAAGTTGAACTATTAAAAATAATCTCATAAACAATCTTCTAATATCTTGATTCATAATGTATTTAGAGTATTAAAAATACGAAATTTGATATGAACATATACACAAGGAAGAAAGCAAAAGAACTAAACATCATCTCTTAGATAATTGATTTGGTGGAGATGGGGAAAGTAAAGGCCTAGGGGAGAAAAACGGTTGAACGCTAGTACAGTATTCATCAGTGATAAGAGGCTAGAACAAGAAATAAGTTACTGGTATTTGTTCAAGTTAAATATCAATCAGATTAAAATAGAAACTAAAAAATGTAAAAATTGGAGAAGCCAGAAAAAATTAGGTACTTGTGAAACTTCCAAGGCAATTATGAAATTAGAATAGAAAGCTAAGTAATACTTAGTTTGAAAGCAGAGTTTGGGGCATAATTGATGTCCTGGAATAGAGAGGGAGAGGGAAAGGGCCTGTAGGAGAGAAAAAAAAATATTAAAAGAAAAGAAAAAAGTTGTGGGGGGGGGTTTGTTTGGAACATGTGCATAATGTCTTTTAGGCTCATATTTGATCCACCAATAAAAATTGAATCATCGAACAAGTGGGGCCAAACCTACTTGTCATGTGGAAGATTCATTGATCATTCATCCTGTTTTACTAAATAACTTGATTGGAAAACCTGCTAAACAAGAACACATGTATAGACTCTTGGAGCATAGTCACATGCTATATTTCCCTTTAGGATACCAGTTACAAAAAATTTGGGAAATTCATAGAATGTTCAGGAATGGGTGGAAAGAAGCTGATAAGGATGCAATGAAGGAAGTTTCAATAATGATGGCAAAAGATGAACATATTTTTTTGAATACATTTATCAATGAATTCCTCATTTTTTAAAAAATGAGGTCCAATTCAACTTATAATCTGTTGAAATAATTTAGTTGTTGATGTTAGGGCCTGTTTGTCTAGTTAAAGTGCTTTTTATTTCTATTTTTTCTCTTCTATTATGTCTGATATTGTACTCATTTATAGCAGGGGCACAAGGGTCTTCTCGCTTCTTATTTCTGCCGCCCTATAAATATTATAACAGAGCTGGCGTCGCCAGCACTGTTACATTGCAAAATCTCTTCTCTTCTCTTCTCCCTTCTCTCTTCTTCTCTTCTCTTCTCCCTTCTCTCTTCTTCTCTTCTCTTCTCTTCTCTTCCTCTTACTTCTGGCCGGCCATACTGTCAACATGGTATAAGAGCAGGAATACTAAGGAGAGCAGATCGAACAAACTTCACTGAGAGAACAGATCGAACAGACTTGCTGAATCTAGGCGGAACAAAGATCCGAATCTGGACTGAGGAAAACAGCTCTACAACTGGTACAGTTCTTCCGTTTTCTCTTCTTTACCTTCCTTGGTCGCGTACCAAGTAAAAAACCAAATGAATCTGGGCGGCTGAATGCTGTCGGATCTGTATACCTTTTTTTTTGGATCGTGTGGTCCTGTTCATGTGCTAAGACGACTGTAGGTCAAGGATGACTTGTCATCTCAATAATTTGACTTGATTATAAGTGATAAGGATCTCTACTACTGATTAATGGTTTTAGACATTCTGGAAGGCTGGTAGGTTGGGACTGTTAAAATCATACAGGTCTAAAATCTGCCGATTATTGCCTCTGTTTTGTCCTGAAATTGGTACTGTTTGTGCTCAGTCTGTTTTCAAACCCAAGTGTGAGTGTGGACTGAGTGAAGCATTTTTTTGTGGAGTAAGGAGGGGTCCTAAGTCCGGTGTTTGGGACTGATTATTTGTTTTGACCATGTTGTTTGAGAATTCTGCTACTTCAGAGATTTCAGGGAGCCACAATGGAATGAGTGGGGGAATGGATATGAGTTTTCCCATGGCTGTTATTCCCTAGACTACCTTGAGTGGTCTAGGGGAATAAAACTCTATATCATTGCTAGGGGGAAAATATGATACATCAATGGGAGAGTGAAGGAACCGAAGTACGAAAGTGCTAAATATGATAGGTGGAACCAAGAGAATAGTATTGTGATGTCTTGGCTCTTGGTTTTCATGCTGCCACAAGTAAGGAAGACTTTTATGTGGGCTGAAACTGCTTGTGAGATATGGGAACAAGCGAAGTCCACCTATTCAAAGCAGAGACACTATGCCAAGATATATCAACTGCAAGCTGAATCCTCTACTTGCAAACAGGGGGAGAGGAGTCTCTCGATGTACT